TAAGCCCCCTGAGGGACCTTAACTCATTGGCATTGTCAAGCATACCCAAGACATAACTGTGTAGAGCACTAATCTTTTATTAGACCTACTGGAAAATGGCAAGAAAATTGTCCTTTTCTGCAAGCTTTTGGGATCAAAGTCCTTTCGTCAGGGTCTGGGCAATGTGTAGATGGTACAAGATGGTGAAAAGTCCCAATAGGTAGGAAATAAACTTCCTTTTTGCACAGAGGGAGCTGAAGATGGAAGGCTGTCCCTCTGGGTCCATGAGAGTGTCTTTGTGAGCTGTGTTGAGTAGCTCTTTGATGTGTTGGTCAGGTAGAATTCCTTCCCTGGAGGTGTCAGATGGCAGGCAGGGGGGTAAAAAAAAACACAAAACAAAAAACTTCCTTGTTGTTCTGCAATAAAGTTTTAAAATCCAAAATCAGTTTGTAAGCTTAAAATCCACACAATTAGTAAGTTTAATAATTAATGTAGTAAAATTGGATCTGAATATTTTAATATAAACAAGTGCTTTTGCCAAACAGCTGTATTCACTGTTACTAATAATTACTGTCAATTTGTTGCTTCAGCACTGTCTTATACCCCATCCTCATTAAAAATTTAGGCAATTTTAGTGTCAACACCTACACAGTCAGATGCGTCACTAATTGGCTGGAGGGCTGCACCAAAAGTGTGGTGGTGGATGGGTTGTTTTTGACCTGGCTGGAGGTGTGCAGTGGGGAGAAGTGGACACACTAGAAGAGAGGGACAGGCTACAACTAGATCTAGACAGGTTACAGAGGTGGGCGGATGAGAATAGGATGGGATTCAGCACTGATAAGTGCAGGGTGCTGCACCTGGGAGGAAGAACCAGCACCATACCTGCAGCCTGGGGAACTTGCTTCTTGTAAGCAGAGAGGGAGAAAAGGATCTTGGATTCGCTATTGATTCCAAGGTGAACATGGGCTGCCAATGTGGGGATGTGGTCAGGAAGGCCAACCGCACCTTGTTGTGCATCCACAGATGCATGTCAAGCAGGTCCAAGGAGGTGATCCTCCCCCTCCGTGCGGCACTGGTCAGGCCGCAGCTGGAGTACTGCGTCCAGTTCTGGGTGCCGCACTTCAGGAGGGATGTGGCCAGCCTGGAGAGGGTCCAGAGGAGGCCACTCACATGATCAGGGGGCAGCAAGGCAGGTCCTACAAGGAGAGGCTACGGGACCTGAACCTGTTCACTCTCCACAAAAGAAAGCTGAGAGGGGATCTGGTGGCTGCCTATAAACTTGCCAAGGGGGACCAGCAGGCAATGGGAGAGTTCCTGCTCCCCCAAGCACTGCTGGGAGTTGCAAGGAATAAAAGCCATAAGCTGACTGTGAGTAGATTCAGGCTGGACATCAGGAGGCACTACTTCATGGTCAGGGCGGTTAGGAGCTGGAACCAACTTCCAAGGGAGGTGGTGCTTGCCCCTACCCTGGGGGTCTTCAGAAGGAGGCTAGACAATCACGTAGCCGGGGTTGTTTGACCCCAACATCCTTTCTTGTCCATGGCAGGGGGTCGGACTCAATGATCTGCTTAGGTCCCTTCCGACCCTACCTACTATGAAACTATGAAAGTATTTTATTAATGATTTTATGCCTCCACTGTCAGAGCAGAATTGCAAGAAGGAAAAATATATGATGGTATTATCATCAGGGCTTAGGATGTCTCAAAGCAGTGTGGTATACAAGAAAGCAACAGTGTTCTGTTCTGTGGAGCATTTGTTAATGGAGGCGTCAGAACATAGAAAGTACAATGCTATTACTGTGCTGCATTGTAAGGGATTGTTTCCAATGGAAATAATGGGTTCTGATAACAGTAAACAGCCTCAATGCACATTGTATGACATTTTGCAACAAGTGTGATTTGTATCTTGCCATAATATTACTTTCTTATTGTTATGATGGTTGTTTGTAGCGAGTGTGATTGTCCACTTTTTGTAATTTATATACATGTTTACTTCCATACAGTCCTGTAAACCTCTTGTTTGTGTGGAGGGGGAACCTTACAAACAACTTGGTTTTTTGTATATACAAAGTGAGATACTTTAGAGGGCCCTGATTTTCACAGGTTGGATTCCTATCACTCTAAAAATAAAGGGCCCTTTAAAATTACTCAAATTTGGGTGTAGGATCAAGAAAATACAATTAAATATCATAGACTGCCTTAGTTTTTATTTTAAAAAAACCTTTCAGTTAGTGAGTAAAGGATTAAGTGAATACCAGAAAACTAATTGGCTACCTGTGCCACATCCAGGGGGGTTATATTTAGAGAAATCTGCTTATACTATATGTCATATAGTTTGTATTTGTTGTCATCTGTTTCCTGTCACTAAATGGACTTGATTGAAAACAGTCTCCCTCTTTTCAAATGTTCATCTGTTTATTTTTCTGCATTTTGTTCCATCGAAAGGGTAAGCAGTAGGAGAACCAGATGAACTATTTAAAACAGGCTGTCTCCTGTAAAAGTCACTTAAAATTAAAGGCGAGAGTACTATTATGTAGTTTATAAACAAGTATAGAAGAAATGTTTATGGAAAACTTGAAAAATTCTCAAATGCTTACAAAGTTTGGCAGCCATGTTTTTAGCTCTGACATTAAGTTGCATCAGATATTCTCAGAGTTTAAATAACCAGTGACTTTGTTTTGAAGTTGGTGAAAATTATTAATCCTTTAATATCCCTGAAAATTGGCATGTTTTTCTTTTAGTACATAGATACAAAGTTGCATTCTTGTAGTCTTGGCAGAAAGTTTAAATAGTTACTGATCATAGTATTTTGATTTCAGCAAACAGACATTCCTACTTTTTTCCGTATTTTCTACTTGATCTAGGAACTTGAGTATTGCTTGTTATGTCTTCCTGAAATAGAATTTAAAAGTGGAGGTTCATTGTGAGCGGATATGCTTCTTTAATCTGCGTCTCAAATTTAACTTCTAAATGTCAACATTCAGGAAATAGCAAAATGCAAGGTTTCAAGCAGGAGCCTCGGAAGCAATTTCAGCTTCGTGTTAAAATTTAATTTCAAGTATTTGTTGTCAATTCGTGATTAGTATTTGTTTTGTTTTTTTAAGGTACCAGTATTTTTTGCAAATTAAACAAGATATTCTTACTGGAAGGTAAGTTCTTTGTTATGACCATTTTCAGAAATAAAAAACCTAAACTGCATGAATAAAATCTTAAGAGTATAAACTATAATATTTGCTTAAGTAGAATTATTTTCTTTTGGATTTGGAACTTTATTATAAATATTTATCAAAACATTTTTTAATGTTGGTGTCTGTGTTGTAAATGACTGTTAGATTTTTCAAAGAGAACATAATTCATATAAATATATATTTCTATTTGTTTTTATGTTTAAAAATTGTAGATTACCCTGTCCTTATAATACGGCTGCTCTTTTGGCTTCCTATGCTGTTCAGTGTAAGTATAGCACAGTATATATGAGTCCATAACTGCAAATTGTACCTTGCATACTTCTGGTTATTTGGTGATCATTTTAGCTATCGTATGTTATTGAATTGTAATAAGTACATTTAATGGATTTTACAGTGTTGTGAAATCAACACAAATATGTGGGGAGGGTTTCCCCTATCAGCAAGGGGAAGTGGCTTCTTAGCCACTTAGTGGTGTATCTGCTGAAGTACTTGGTACAAAGAAGTTTTACTGCTAAGTTTCCATATCCTTCTCCATTTAATATATATTAAGAAAAAATTTCCATATACTCTAAAGTATAATAAGTTTCTTTCTCAGGCATGACACTTGGAAGGGCTTTACATGTCAAAATTTCTTCCTGTGAGCCTTCAAAGATGAATGGAACAGGGTGTTCTGGTGCTGTCCAGCCAGATTGTTCGATTTGCCAATTTTAGGCAAATCAGCAGGGCTATAAAGGGTTGGATAGTAAATATCTTTATGGCCTTTCCTCCTTTTATCTTTTGGTGTTATAACACCTTTAGTAATTCTGTAGATGAGCTGAAGAAAATATTGTAAAGTTAACTTGTTGAAAATCAGGAAATGACAAAAATTGGTATTACATTGATTTAGTTCACACTATTGTGAATCTTCTTCTGAATAGTTTTTTTCATACATTTTTCCTGATGTGTATATATAGCAGTTAATCTGTGCAACTCTTTTTATGCCAGGTAAATAATCCATAAGTCTTTATCCAAAAATAGGTGGTATATCCTACCTGTACAACTTTGGTTAGTAATGAAAACTTGTAAGATCACTGTGCCACTTATCTTCCTAGATAACTTAGGGTTGGGTTTTTTTTTTTAAATTAAATGCTGTGAATTGCATAGTCTTTGAAAAAGGGCCAGGGTATCCATGTGGATAATATTCATACAATGATATACAAATCAGCTTCCATTTGGCATACTTATTTTAACCAAAGAAGCTGTTACCTTCACCAGAAAAGTAGCATGCCTGGAGACGCTACTATGCATACCATGGCTGCCACTTGTTACGAGCTGCTGTGGCAGCAGGCCTTTGTTTAAAGTTTCCCAGTCATTGGGTGCTTTAGTCCTCCAGTAGTTTTAGGTGGGCAGCACAGGCTAACAGTCTGGCAAGGACTATGGCTTGGTTCAAAGTAGAAGCTGCATTCCTAGGGATAAGAGCCAGGGGCAAGAATAAATCGCAGATCGTAAAGTTTCTTGCGTTTTCCACAGCTTTTTCGTATCTGTCTGATTTTTAACATATGGTTGCTGATTCCTATAATTCTCCTGATTATGTATTAAATCTTCTTGGTTTTATAACTTATTGACTGTGGGGAATATGAGTTCGGAACACTTGACCGTCAAGCAGGCCTCTTTTCTAAGGAGGATTCTTGTAATTTCTGAGCATGTGCTAAACAAAAAGTGTGATTCTTTAAGCTGGCAAAATCTCTGCTAAGAGCTGGTAAAGCTGAGGCACCCTGGGCCAAAGAATTGACCCCTTGGCACATCTCTGTTTTCAGTGACTAAGCAGCAAATGGCAGAGGAGGTTTGGGGCTGAAGGACACTGCTGAGGGTGTAAGAGCACCCTGGAGTGGGTCTCAAAGGTACAGCTGGCAGAATTTGTCAGTGTATCACAGTACTAATTATTGGTGTTATCTTAAAGTGTATTTTTTGGCAAATTTTTCTTTGTTATAGCAGATAATAAATTTTAGATTTAAATATGCAGTAGAGGTTATTTTTAGGTGTCTTAAAGCTGTAAAATATGGCTTGAAATTGTAATACATTTCTATAAAATTTTCTGTTATGTATTTCATACATTCAGCTACATGTATCTGAGCCAATAACAAATTAACAATAATTTCTTTGTCCTTCTGGGGATGTTTTGTCCTAGATTGGATGCGTCATTTTTGTAAATCATATATTCTAGAGAGCAAAATAAACATCTTTTTTAGGAAAGTGAGTCCTCATAATGTTATGAAAGCGTACACACGAAAACTGATTACTGAACTATGTTGCAGTAAAACTGTTGTTTAGAATTAGTCATTTTGTAGGCAGTGAACAAATTTTTATATTTGAATGTAAATATTTTCATAAACCAGCTTGCCAGGCACCCACTTGTCATACAGGTTCCTTTTTTAAACTTCTACAATGAATTAATAAGTCATTTTTTATAAGAAGAAAAGAGAAATTCAGACTTGCTGCTATAGAACTTAAGGTGGTTAACGTAGTCCTGGCCGTAGTTGTTACATATGCTTGTGCTAAGCAAATAATTTTTTTTCCCTTTTAATCTTTTAGCTGAACTGGGAGACTACAGTCATTCAGAAAACTTGCCAGGCTACCTCTCAGACTATTCTTTCATCCCTAGCCAGCCTCAAGACTTTGAAAAAGAAATAGCAAAATTACATCAACAGCACATGTAAGGATTTATAGAAAAAAGTCTTACTTGGTCAAATCACTTATTGCCAATTGCTGTGGTTTTATAGGAACATGCCTAAATTTCTTGTTTGAGAATTCATTATAAATATTTATTTACAATACAGTATTCTTACAGAAGGTTTGTATAAAATATCACTAAAGCTTGGAGAGGAAGACTCAGAATAAATGCATTTACTTTTCAACTAATTTGAAGTAATGCTACATTTCTTTGCTAAGAATGTTTTTAGTCATTCAGAACTGTCTGCATAATATTTCTGGGTATGCTGCCTAGCAGAATTTTATTTTAGGTGTAAATAAAGCTTTTTCTGCAATTCATCTGATTCTTTCTCTTGTGCACTTCCATGAATCCCTACTGCATGGCTACAAAGAAATGAATACATTATATTCAGTATAAATTTCCTAAGTCTTATGGTTCTGAATAATTGATAAAATTTCAGTTGGAGTCCTTTTTTTAACACATTTGTTTGAAATTGGGGGGGTACTGACTGTGTTGTTTTATGAGCTTTCAAAATTATCAATTGCTGATTGAATCCATATTGTTTAGATTCAATCAAGCATGTTGCAAATTAAATTACTGTTAAGGAAAAATAAACAATTTGGGTTTGGTAATAATGCAAACACTAAAACCTAGGATAAGCCATGGGAAAAGCAGATACTCTTTTTGTCCTAAATACAGACGGCCACAAGTGTTTCTAGATTTTTTTTCACTAATACTTCATTTACAGACACTTACACGATGCGGTAATATATGTGCCTTAGAGTCTGTATCTGTGTGTACTACATATCCCTACATGTCACACCTTTTTAAAAATTATTTTTTCTGTATAGAGGCAGAAGTAACAGGGCTGTAAGCCTGCACATCATATGTGGTGACTAATCAAAGCAGCAGTTTTTTACTTGGTCTGTAACTACTTCTGTTAACCTCTTTCTTCCACAGGTGTACTGCCCATTTCCCTTTCTAAGACCCCTGCCAGATGTGCAGATAAAACCATGATTGGATATAATGCACAGTCCATATGCATGGAAGGAGGCGTGATTGTAGGATCGATTGTTAGATCCCATTGCGCCTTATTGTCATCGCAGGAGGTGCTTGGGCTCCCCTTGTACCAGCAAGTAGCAAGCTCCTGCGTCTGGGAGCCCCTCAGCTGATGGGGTTGACCATGCTCTCTTGTGGCTAGGAGCCTTGACAGCCATTTTGCCTGGCATGCCACAACTGGCCCAGGCTCTGGGCAGCTACCACTGGCCACAGAGTCTGGAGCTTGCAGGAGGCAGCCAATAGGCTGCAAGCTGCCTGGGCTGTGTGGCCGGCAGCCAGGAGGCTGCAAACAGCTGCACCGGGGTCTGGAGCCCTGGCATCAGCTCTGGCAGAGGTGGTGGCTGCATGTATGCCTATGGAAATGGGGCAGCACAGCCCTGCCCCCTCCCCCACCCAGAGGCACACATGCACCCACTGCCAGCAACACGGATCTCTGTATGCATGCGACATCACCCAGACCTTCGATGCATATGCCTAGGAAGGAGGAATGGAGACTTTCCATCCCCGCTTTAGGGCAATACAAAGGCCAGAGGTTTGGCGCCGCCATAGCTGGAGTTGTATAAGCATCCAGAAATCAAACCCAGTTCTCCTGTGTGGCAGGCAAGGCTTCTACCACTGAACCACAGGGGATTCCACATAGTAGGGTGGAACAGAAGTAACTGTTCTACCAGGCGTTTAGCATAGGCTGGGACTTTGGAAGGGAATTTTGTGCCAAAAAGCTTGTTTAACATTTTTCCAACTGTGAGGTTAGTCCAGTAAAAGATATAAGAAGCATTATTTATTTGATAATATGTTCCATGGGCTGTCATAGCTATTACAACACTGCTGCAGTATAGAGTCTAATCAGGCGTTTCTCTGTTTAACAAATTACTGTGGTGCAATAATGTGTGTAAATGAGTAGAGAATTGAGAAAGCAGATAAGAACAGTTGAACTAAGGTATTAATATCTGGATTAATTAAAGGTTCTGGGCATTTTATGCATATTTAACTCATTTCTCTCATTACAGAGGCTTGTCTCCTGCAGAAGCAGAGTTCAATTATCTCAATACGGCACGTACCTTAGAACTCTATGGAGTTGAGTTGCACTATGCAAGGGTAAGTTTGAATGAACTGGTTCTGTAATATAAAGGTAGAGAATTGTTTGTGGTTCTGGAAGAACAGTTTTTAAGGAGATGTCCTTCACTTTCACACTACCATTGCCATTTTAAAAGAATGACAGAGGTCAAACTTGAGACGGGTACTTTAATTGTTTACTTAACTTTGGCTAAACAGGACTGAGTAGCTTGAATTTACTTCCTTAGGATTTTACATGTGTTTAAAAAGAGGTAAATGTTTAAATACCTTTTTCAAATCTGGGCACAAATAAAGTGAACATTAAGTTAATTATTTGCCCCATGTTGCATGATAGTGCTTTATGTGAGGTACCTTTGGACTTGAGAGAATTACTGGCTGCTAAGATGGTCTGATTTGCTTTCTTGTTCAAGTGATGGGAAGTTTTGTCATCTATTGTACACACTGTAAATGAAAACGGGCATCATTTTGGTTCTTGTTAGAATGCTCCTAAGTGGGCCACTCGTAAGGACAATTTTTTATTCCATTTCCTGAAATCCTCCCAAGCACAGATTTACTTTTTGCTGAAAGCACTAATCTTTAACAGCCTGGACACTTGTATTCAAAATACATCATATGCTGTGATCTGGAATCTGATTCTAAATACAGAACATTTCTAAATAACATTTTTTAGGTAGTCATGTTTAATAATTTATGAAGTAGTCCACCCCACTTTTGCTTATTCTGATAAATGTATTTGATAGGATCAAGTGATGGTTTTGTAACATTTAGGGTGCAGAGTTATTGTTAGAGAAAACTAAAATAGCAGAAATCTTGTTTGTGGCAGAATTTCCTGCCTCCAAATACTGGCATAGCCACTTGGCTTTAGATAAGAACATAGGTCGCTAGTTGAAATCAGGCTGACTCAGTAACAACCATACTACTTAACTTGTGGTTCATACTTATGTGTGAATGTCTAATAAGTTTTCTTTATGTAATTTCCACTGCTCTAAATGCTTCAAAAATTATGCTTTTACAAATCTGTTTAAACAAATCTATAAAGTTGAATATATAGTTAACTTGGCAGTTCTAATATAGTTTAAATTATTCTGCATGAAATTAAAAAAAATAAAACCAGGTGTTTCTGGGTATAATTGAGAGAGAGCCTGATTCTTCTATAGCAAAAATTACCTCAGTTTTATCTCAACTCTAGTTTCCCTGGAAAAATAATTGCATGTGTACATACTCAAAACCCCACAGAACCCTCTACTCTGCCACAAAAGTTACTCCACTTGTGCTGAGTGGATTCAGGTTTTTGCTGGCACTTGTCAACCAGCTGAAGGTGTTTGAAGACACTTCTATGCTTTCAGCCAGCTGCCTTTATCCCTTACTTAGCTCATGCCCTTCTGGAGTGCATAGTTTCATAGATGTAGGGTCAGAAGGGACCTAAGTAGATCATCAAGTCTGACCCCCTGCCCTGGGCAGGAATGAATACTGGGCTTATGACCCCTGGTAGATTTGAGCTCATATGACCCCAGCTAGATAATTATCAAGCCTCCTCTTAAAGACCCCCAAGGTAGGAGCCAGCACCACTTCTCTTGGAAGTTGGTTCCAGATCCTAGCTGCCCTGACTGTGAAATAGTACCTTCTAATGTCCAGCCTGAACCTACTCTCAATCAATTTATGGCTGTTATTCCTTGTTACTCTGGGAGGCGGTCGGGGGAACAGGGACTCACCCATTCCCCCCTGGTCACCCCTGGTAAGTTTATCGATGGCCACCAGGTCCCCTCTCAGCCTTCTCTTGTGAAGACTGAACAAGTTCAGGTCTCGTAGCCTCTGTCCTGGGATCATGTGAGTGGCCCTCCTCTGGACCCTCTCGATGCTGGCCACATCCTTCCTAAAGTGTGACACCCAGAACTGGATGCAGTACTCCAACTGTGGCCTAAACAGTGTCGCACAGAGGGGAAGGATCACCTCCTTGGCCCTGTTTGTGATGCATCTGTGGATACATGACAAGGTGCAGGTAGCCTTACTGACCACGTCCTCACATTGGCGGCCCATGTTCATTTTGGAATTGATAATACTCCAAGATCTCTTTCTGTCACTGCCCTGACGAGAAGGGAGTTCCCCATCCTATAGGTATACTGCTGGTTCTTACTGCCCAAGTGCAGTACCCTGCGCTTGTCTGTATTGAATCCCGTCCTATTCTCATTTGCCCACCCCTGCAACCTGTTGTATCCTGTTCCTCCCTTCTAGCGTGCCCACCTTACCCCAAATCTTGCTTTTCACCCCCTCGTCCAAGTCACTGATAAAGAGATTGAACAGTGCGGGCCCGAGGACAGAGCCCTGGGGGACTCCACTGCCCACATTCCTCCAGGTCTAATATGACCTGTCCACCACCACTCTCTGGGTGCGGCCCCTCAGCCAATTTGTGATCCATCTGACTGTGTAGGCATCAATGCCACAGTGGCCTAGCTTTTTAATGAGAATGAGGTGGGAGACCGTGTCAAAGGCCTTCCTGAAGTCCAGAAAGACTACTTCCATTGCGACACATGCGTCCAGTGATTTTGTGACCTGATCATAGAAGGCAGTCAGGTTGGTCTGACAGGACCTGCCCCTAATGAAACCGTGCTGGTTGCCCCTAAGCATCTTCTCCCCTGCTTGTTCCTTGCCTGATGTGGTCCTGGTTAATTTTCTCAGAGCTCCATGAGCCAGAGCACCACAAGTGCTTGTAAAGCCATGCCAGGGGGCCCGCAATGACCCCTGCCAGTTCCCTCAGCACCCTGGGGTGGAGAGCATCTGGACCTGCTGATTTGAACACGTCCAGCCCCTCCAGCAGTCCCCTAACTCAGTCCTCCCTGACCCTAGGACTGACGGAGTTTCTCCTGAGTCTGTCCTGAATT